TTGAAATGACAATATCTTGTTAATAAATTAAAGTGGTAGACGTGCTTACATAACACAAGTAAAATGAAATTCTGCTTATTAATATTTAATCATGTGTACCTATGAAAAAGATAGCCATATGTATTGTCTCCCTTCAGATCTGCCAAATACTTTATCAAGTGGAATCTGACCTCCCGTGTAAGACTGTATTGGAAATAAGTGTGGACTTACCCGTCTGTTTTGCCATCATAGTTCTTATGCCTTCTAACACAGTTTAGGTAACAATTTATTAATGTACAACTCAAAAATCAACAAAGATTTGCTGTAGAATTTGGCATAAAAAACAAATTAAGGTTAAGATTTTAGTCTCTTATACCTGACTTCTATATTCACAATCATTTAAGTAGTTTAAATTATTTCAAGTAAACTCTTGTGGCACATGCCTATAATCCTAGTGCTTGGGAGGCTGAAAACAGGAGGATCACTACAAGTCCAATCTGTATAGTAAGACCCTGTAGACCCTATACTAAATACATTAAAAAATAAAAATTTTTAAAAAAATCAAGTAAACTCTTATTTGAGGCTAAGATACAAATGAGCTGCATTTGTGAATAAAAACAGAGCTGGCACCGAGTATTATGTTCTAAAAGCTACCAACACACTTAGTATCTCACTTAGCCCTTAGAACACCTATACAGTATGTTACTTGTCCCATTTTATAGGAAGCCAAGGTCATCTTAGCCTAAGATTTAAGCCCAAGCTTCTCACTCCACTGCCTACGCCATTGTCACTGCATTGTGTAATCAGTGGTATTTTTTACTGTTTGACTTTTTTTTTTTTTGGACTAGGTGATACACTTTTGGCCATTCAGGCACCTTCAGGTACACAGCTGGAGGTACCTATTCCGGAAATGGTATGTAGAACATATTTGTGTAAGTAGAAAAAAATGGATGTATAGTCTCAATAGGTACAGACATATTTTCTTGAACTGAACATAAACTAATTTTATGTGAGCAACTTTGAGTTTCTACTTTCATGTTTTATATCTGAAAGCACTGCTATCTGAATTTGGCTGTCTTCACTACTTGGGTAAAATTATATGTAACTAGATCATTAACATTTGTGTAAGTTGTTTTTGTTTTTTTAATTGACTGTTTAAAATAGAGGATATCAGTGAATAATGGTATGGTCAATAATCTTAACAAAAGTTAAAATGATTGCATTTGTAATTAATGTAGAAGTCATGATCAAGGAAAAAAATCAATGTAAACATCCACAATCAGTTGCTTTAAATTAGGTCTCTCAAAAAAACATTTTGACTTACTGCGTCAAAGACATTTATAGATTTTATGCTAGATGTAAAATTTATTAGTTTGGTTTCAGAAGAAACAAGCTAAACCAGTCAACAAAGGGAATAGAAAGCATGACAGCCCCCCGTACACACACCTGTTCTAGAAATTTGTGTTTCAGCATTCGTATTACTGATTCTGAAATTTCACAATATAAATTATTTTTTTGAAATGGAGGCATTTTGTATTTATATCTATGTAGGAAGTCAGCTATCTATATTTGCTGATTGAAAAAACGTTTGACTTGTGAACAGTAAGTAACAGGATGTTGAGGTGACCATATTCACGCTGGCTAACTCCAGAGAATGAAGTTCACACATATGGAGAATAAGCACTGGAATAGGTATTATAAAGCACTGAAAAATAAGATTATATGAGGTAAAAATGCATGGTTGCCAGAACTCTACAACTCACAGTTGTAGCTTGGAGGCTTCCGTATCCCATTCTGCTGTTGTCTTTTAACTTAATGTCTTTATCTTGTTGTATGAATTTAGTCTCTTTTGCCCTGTCTCATTTTTTAACTTTTCAAGGTAGCTAGAAATGTTAATATTTATTCATTTGTTTATACCCAATAAATTTCAAAGGGTCAGAATGGACAAAAGAAATACCAGATCAATTTAAAGAGTCATTCAGGACCTATCCACGTGCTGCTTATAAATAAAGAGTCCAATTCATCTAAGCCTGTGGTTTTCCCCGTCCCCCCACCTGATGACCTCACACAGCCTTCTTCTCAGTCGTCCACTCCAGTGACTCCACAGAAATCCAGCATGCTGGCTCAGAACCCGCCTGAGCAACATGTGCCCGAAAGAAGCCAGAACATCCAGCAGATACCAGCCACAGAAATAGCTTCTGGTGGGTTCAGAGCATTTAAAACAAAACAAAAAAACACAGATGGAAAAATATGACAAGTTGAACAGCTTTTCTGAATGTTAGTTGTGATGATATGTCAGTTTCTATCTGAAACTCTGTTTTCTAACCTTAGTCTAGAGAAAAGTTACTAAATGTAGGAAAACCTTTAACAATCTAGCCTATCTATACCATAATGACTTATACCTTTTTTCTCTATATTCTTTGTGTACTTTTTTGAAGCTTTAATTTTATAAAGTTGGTAAGTGGTCTCAATTTCAGTTATTTAGGATATCTTTTCTAAATTGTTTTATCTATGAAATAATAAATAGCTAAAACACTAAAAATTGAGTATAAAGACATAGGAACCACAACTTTAAAATTTGTAAAACTTTTTGTGGCACCCAGTCTTCTTGGTTCCAGAGCTATCTTTAGCGATTCTTTGATTTCCAAATAAGCAGCGGCATTACAGAGTCTTTCAATGATTTCTGAATAAGTGAATGACTTGTACTAATGTAGGTATCATACTGCAGACAATTAAAATGGAACCATACAGATCTAAATCATTGACGTTTACTTACTAGATATGTCTCATTGCTGTACCTCTGGGAGTTCACAATATTAAAAGTATTAAAACGAAATATATTTAATTGCACATGGGTTACTTTTTAGCTTCTTGTTGCTCGTAGCCTTTTCTACTTAATTTCCTGTTATTTTTATACTGTAGGTCACAGGGATGCATAGTCATCTCACCTTAATTGTATCTGCCTGAGATTACTAAAACAGGCAAGATTTATGTATTTCAGTGTCAACAAAGTTGCTACATTGGCACCCAGAAAGCCTTAAGATGTAATTTCTATATATTGTGAAATAGTAATTTGGGGCATGTTAGAGAAAACCTTAAACAGCTAAGCTAATAACCAGTAATAAGAACCATTTAAACTGTGAGCAGAGAAGTAGAATTTGAGCTGCAATGGGAAGCCCAGGAGTACAACTTTTGGGAAAGGGGACATTTTGGGAAAGCAAGGTAATCAAAAGCTATAAAGATTGAAGATTGGACATAGCTATGAAACTGAACGTTGAGGCTAAAAAAGGGGGGGTTCCAATGGGACTGGAGAAATGATCAGATTTCAGAAATGAATTTAGGCAAAACAACATTTGTTACACAAGAGCTACACAGAGTGAACTGTAGAATGGAAAAATGTTTTAACATAGGATGACTCAAGAATTAATACCACAGACTGAAACATTCTGCTTTGGAAGAATGAGTCTTTTGGTCCACATCTTAAGTTGGGGGATTTAAAAGTAATGATAGGCATGGAGGATTTTGAAAATGATCTTTCTCCAAAGTTCTCATACTTTGTCAGTGAAGCTGATGATGTGACTACCTGTACCACATATAAGTAAAAATGTAACAAAATTTTGTAACATTTTTTTCCAGCAGGATCTATTAGTGGAGATATTATCGATGAGTTAATGTCTTCTGATGGTAAGTAGTTTAAAATTTCACTGCTTTATACATCAGTGTGTTTCTAAAATTTGCAATTTAAAATAAAAAATGTTCTATTTTGTAATTGCTTCACTCTGACTCATGGAGATTTTCCCTTAATACTACTTCATAATGAAACACAAACATCCTTCAGAGCTTGTTTCTCCGTGTTCCCACTTTTATTAAGTATTAGTCATTAACAGCATCATATATGTGTGTGCACATGTACTTTTTTGTGTATAACTTAGAAAACAATGTGAGGCTGGGGAGACAGCTCAGCGGTCTAAGAGCCTACGTGGCAAGCTCAAGGACCCAGATTTGATCCCCAGTACTGCCTGCTGCATTGACCCTGTGCTGAGCAGCCAACAAAACCGGGCGTGGAGGCACATACCTGTAATCCCAGCACTGGGGAGGCTAGGCAGGGGGATCACTGAGTCTGGGCTGTGTGTGTAGCACAACCCTGTACCAAATGAATGAATGAATGAATGAATGAATGAATGAATGAATGAATGAATGATTTTTAAAAAAATTTGGTTAAGGTATTTGAGAGCAGTTTGTTAAATCTCATTACCTGTATATAGACACTGTCTTTAACCTTTACTCTATTTGTTTGCAGTGTTTCCGCTCTTACGGCTTTCTCCTACCCCTGCAGACGACTACAACTTTAATTTAGATGATAATGAAGGAGTTTGTGATCTGTTTGATGTCCAGATACTAAATTATTAGATTCCATGGAAACTTTGGACTGTTATCTACCTCTAACTGCATAACATTTTAGATTTCTTAATAACCTAAGTATTTAAAAATAATGAATGTAACACCTTTTTAGTTCACTGATTCTGAAGTGTTCTTCCCTAATACTACTTTCTTTTTTACTTCACAAAACCTCAACCATAAAAACAAAGGGCTCTGACTGTTTCTGGAGTAAAACAGGCTTAATATCTACCAGCTTCCTCAATCCCCAAGTAATTACATTCTGAGATTTGAACTTCCAATTATGAATCCTTCTGTTTTCTCTTACAAGAGGAAGTTTAAAGTAGACTTGGTCATCGAAAGCAAAAAAGTTGGCCGAGGGCTAACCACCTATTTGCCTTGTATTTTTACTGCCATGAAACTATTTCTGCACCTGTGTCAGTCCAAGGAGACACTCACTGCCACTTGAAATGTGACGGATGTAAATGAGGATGTGTAACTGCTTCAGTGAACAGATTTTGTGAAGTGCCTTCTGTTTTAGCACTTTAAGTTTATCATTTTGTTGACTTCTGACATTCCACTTTCTTTCCTAGAGTACAGGAAAGATCTGTTCATGTAGTTTGTTTTTAAAATGTGCCAATGCTTGTACATTAACAAGATTTTTTTTAAATAAAGTTGTATAAAATACGTATTTCGTTGAATTTGTTTTTTAATTTGATACATCTCTCCACCATATTACAATTGAGCCATTAAATTTGTAGCTTCATCAACATTAACTGGTTCGTTTTCATGATGGGGTTGATTAATCTGAAGGGAGAAAAGTATATTTAAACATTTAATAATAGTACAAAAAACCCATATAATGTTAGCCAATTTAATTTCTTCCAGTCATACTTTGAATAGTAAAATCTTATTCAGACTCAATGTTTTAAGAGTCAGAATATGCTAAACGAAAGCCAAGTACTGATCCATTAGAATCCCATTTCACTGATTTTTCAGTCATCAATATATCAGCCATAACAAAAGCAAATGGTATCTTACCAGCTCTTTCTTACGAGGTTCAAGAGTCAGCCTTTTAGAGAAGTGTGCAAGTTCCTTCTGAATGTTTACAAAAGCTTTATTCATTCTGCGTACTTTTTCATCATTCACAATGTTTATCTGTTAAAAAAAATGAGCCCACAATCTTACAGCCATTAAAGATAAAATGTATTCATCTTTAACTGTTAAACCTAAAAACCTGCAAATTCTCAACTCTATCAAATTATGAGGCCAATTTATACTAAAGCTATTGTCCAAGACAAGGTTTTTAAAACTAACAATTATATGGATATGCCTCATACCTATGCTTAGATGGCATAATAAAGTAAAAATGACCATAATCCTTCCAGGTTACTATGTTAGCATCGATCATCTATAAAATCAGAAACGTGGATCAAATGCTTTCAGTCTCTTTTAATAGCTCTGAATCATTCTTTGGCCTTCTTAAGTCCCTGGTACCCTACGTCTTTTGAATCTGAGAGGCAGAGATGGTGGTTTACATTCACTGCTACTACCAAACAATTTTTTTCAAAGAAATCAACTTTTGTAGATATTATTTTGTGTTTATACAGCATCTTCTTCAAGAACTTTAAATGCCTTACAGGCGTTATGTCCAGCTAATCACCACAGAACCCTGTGTGCTAGGTATACCTCCCATTTTACAAGACAGGAAGACTGGACAATGGTAAGGATAAGTGACTTCCCTAAGGTCATACAGTTAATGAAGCTCACTGCAGAGCCAGGGTCTGAGCACCTAAGCCTCTCAGCTCCCAGCCAAACACCACATAGAGAATCTTTAATGAAAAGCATCTTTAAAAGACGGTATCAGTAGTATGTTAAGAGGTAAGGTCTTTCTACTGCCATCAAAGAAAGAACAATCTCTATTAATGGTTAGAAGCCACAAGACCTGTATAGCACCCCCCCCCCCAACAAACACACTCTTTTCCTTTCTCAGCCTCCTGGCTCTTGTAATTGGTAAAATTTCCAAAACAAACCATGTGACTTATAAGTAGGACTTAATTTACATTGGTACCTTGGTTCACAAACTTCATTCTTTCCACGTTTCTGGTCAAAAACTGAATTAGACAGCTGAATCAAATTCGATGGTTAGGTTAAGTGTTGACCTTAATGGGAAACTATCTTATACCTGCTATGTCCTAGCTGACGTTAAAACTAACTGCTTTACTATACCTTTTTCTCTACAGAAAGCTGTAAAGAAACAATTTTAAATTTCATAATTTGGTATACACTATCAAAATACAAGCACTACTCTGACTTACCCAAAGCTCTTGGTTATGACTTTGCATTGTTGGCAGATCTGCCAGGCTATGTGCAGTATAGAAAGCAACTCTCTTGAGGTTCAAAGAAGCTGTGATCTTAACAAACTTTTCAAAATACGTTTGATATTTAGTACACATACTAAGTATAATTTTCAACCAGTACAGCTGTCTAAGCCCAACTAAATGACCCTATTAAAGATCTGTTTATGGAACATAAGGTGGGCCAGGGAGATAGTTCAGTGGCATAAGTGCCTTCCTGGAACACGAAGTGAAGTCATCCCTTAGGCTAAAAGATACAGTTAATGTTGTACTCATCGTAACCAGAGCAGCCTGGACCACAGCCAAAAAAGCCCAAAGATTACGTTTTGGGGAAGCCCTTTTCCCCCTGACTTTACAAACTGATTATAAAGGCATTCAGAACTTGTGTTTCAGATCTCATTTTGCTAGGAGTTTTAAGAATATATGTAGTGTAAAATGTCTGTAAACCATTGCTGTTGGTATTTTTCCATTCATCAATAAGTTGGATGAGTGTGGCCAAATACACCTTGGAAAAAATAACTGAAAATTACATTAAAAATAACAGTAATCAAGCACTGGATGTTTCTCACCAAAAGGCAGCCTAGTTTTTTTCTTTTAATTCTCTGGCATCTAAAGTGGTATTACTAAAACTTGATAACAAAAATAAAATTAAAAAATGTTTTTTATACCAAACAATTTCTCCTTCAAAACCTTCAGCTGCTTTACACACTATGCATGAGAACATTCTGTCCTCCACTGCTGTCACTCCCCAATGCCATGATTATCTGATTCTTTAGGAAAGGTTTTAAACCTCAGCTCACTAACTTCTTCATGCCTACTTTGATCTCTTGAGGGCCTCATCTCCAGGGGTCTCTGTTAGCTGTCTCAGCCAAGCATGGACTTTCCACAGCATTGCCATTCCTTGTTCATTTAGTTTATGAACAATTACTGCATCTCACTGAAACCTTTTCACACCAATTTGACTATTTTCCATAGCTTTATGTCCCACTTTCCCCCTTAGCCAGCACAGACTTCAGGACTATCATTTAATAGTTACTTCTTTCTTCTTTACACTTTTTTGGCGGAACCGGGGATTGAACTCAGGCCCTTGCGCTTGCCAGGGAAGCGCTTATTCCACTGAGCCATCTCCCAGGCCCCTCTTTACACTCTTCACTAGCTCCTGTCATAACAATTACTTTGTTCCCTTAAGGCATTTATAGTCATAAAACTTATGCATCAAAAAACTTCGCTTATTTGATAAGTTGAAGCTGAAATATCACTTTTCTATGGGTCATAACACAGGTGACTCTACCCATTATTTCAGTTTGAAGACATCCTTAAAGAATGTTACAAGAACCACTTAATCCTGAGCTTTCTTAAAAATTTTGAAATGTAAAACTTCAAATTTTGAATTTCAAGAAACAGTATTTCATCTTTGTTTTGCAGACTTACATTTATTTGTGTTCCAGAATAAAAACGAAGAGAAAAAGAAGTGGTGCTCACTAACATTCCATGTCTTGGCTCTGTTAATAGGTTTTTTCTATGCATTAATAAAGCTGTTAAACTATTTATCATATGCACTTTTATACCTTTGCACTTACACATTTGCATGTAAAATACTTTTCTTCTTACGTTTCAATTTAATAAAGAGGTTATTTTCAACTTGAAAAAAATTTAAAATCCTCGTTTTAGTAAAAAAAGGAAAAAATGGAAACAAAGCTTTTCTAAGTAGGGTTGAAGAAAGGGTAGATCATGAACAGTTACAAATTCCATATAATGAAAATGATTGTTATGTACACATGTACACCTAAAAGCAATAAAAATAATTTTCTTTGAAACAAAAACTTGTAGGAAAGGTTAAATTTGAAGTTAAACAATACTTAAGCTAAACAACAAAATCCAATTATAGAGTAGTTTTATCACTATGCTTTGTGATACTTAATATAACACTCACCTTCTTAAGATTAGTAGTAACTGGTTTTGCTTTGTTTTTGGACTTAAAGTTTTTTTGGCTGGCTATGTGAAATACGTTCTTGGACTTCTGCCCTCTTAATTTATTCTTGGCCATTTTCTAGAAAAGGAAAAAAGATCAATTAAGCTACTCATGTTTAAGAACTATAAAATTAAAAAAAACCCTATAAAATCAGGTTTTTAAAGCAGAGGTAATAAGTCTAAAAAATTACATTTTACTTTTGATTTGTGTGGGTAGGGTGCCTGTATGGGAATTGAACTCAGCCTTTGCACTAAAGTACATCACCAGGCCAATTTCTTTTTCTTTTCTTTCTTTTCTTTTTTCTTTTTTCTTTTTTTTTTTTAAGTTTTAAGACAGGATCTCACTAAATTTGCCTAGGCTAGGTTTAAACTTGGGGCCCTCCTGCCTCAGCCTCCTGAGTGGCTGGAATTATTAGCATATATTTCTACACCTCACCACTCTTGATTATTTTTGAAGTTGCTAAATGTATTATTTCTATTAAAATTTAAAATCTTAGTATTTTGCTGTTGACTACATGGCAGCCAAGAGGCAGAGAGAAAAAGAGGCAGAGAGGAAGGGGCCAGGGGCTAGATACAGCATCCAGCCTCGAGGTCTATGATCCCTCACCTGTAGGGGCTATCTCATTTCCATCCCTCCGAATATCATCAGATTACAACTCCATCAGTGAAGTTAGAGGCACTTACTTCCCAAAGCCCTTCAGCAGCTGGGTGTAGTAACACATGCTTGTAATCCCAGCACATAGGAGACAGGCAGGAAGATCCCCATGAGTTAGGAGGCCAACCTGCACTACAGTGAATTCAAACCTAGTCTCAAGAGATCTTGTTTCCAAACAAAACAAAACCAAAAGCCCCTCTTGAACACAATAAGCTTTTCGGTTGGGGGACACTGCAGATAGCAGTCACAACACTATCACACTTTAGGCACTGCCTCTGTTTCTTCTCATTCCTTTTTACTGTCCTGTGCATCCCATCAAAATCAGCCCTTAATCCTGCACTTAAAAACCCTCCAATTACTTTTATAGCTTCTATATTATCTCCAGGCCAATGGGTCTTACCCCCACAACATAATTTTCTTTGCTTTGTAACTAAACACATTAACTTTATAGCATCTACATTATAAATATCTCCCAAATGTGTTAATGCATGTGAGGAAAAATTCTCATTTTACAAATAAAAACAACTGATTTACAGAAATGAATCTGCCTAGTATCACACAGGATAACCACAAGTGGCATGATTTGAAGCCACAAAAAAGAACAAAAGACACACATTATATGTATATGCAGGATAGTTTGGAAAAAGGAAGGGAAAAAGATGTATTTGTTATATATATATAGGATAGTTTGGATAACTACTGCTAATCTCTGCTAGTCTTTTGAAAGGAGCAATTAACACTTAAAATTTCTTTTTCTTTTTAATTTCTTATAACTTTTTTGTTGCTTTTGTTTTTTAAGCCAATTTTGTAGGTTTATATCTGGTAACCTGCACAACTAATTTGAAGATATCACGCAATTCAATTGTTGAATTCCTATTACTTTGGTTAGCGAAATTTTGTATTGTTGCTAATTCCTTTTATTTTTACTATTATGTAATACTGCTGCCTCTCATGTATCATTAAAAAACCAATTCCAAACAATAGTGAAGTACCGTCTGGTTCAGGCCTGGGTTGCGGCTGCAGCTCCCGGGTCCACTTGTTTGGCAAACTGTGCCCCATGGAACAAATCAGATAGGAGCGTGTCCTACTATTTACTGTATATCCATTCAATTACGTACTGTCGATGGCTCCTTTCCTGTTAAAAGTACGGTGCCCCAAGTCCAAAATATTCACAGCCTCTTTACAGAGCTTGTCGACCCCTTCCTGAAACCACCGCACAGCGGCTCTCCCTCTACACAGTACTAGCCTACCTGTTCTCCGAAGGCATCTTGCGTCTCCTCTTTATGCACACTGTGCTGTCAATGAAATTGATATCCTCCATTTGGCCTCAGAAAACTAAGACAGTGACACGTCTGAACCCCAGCAATACTACTTTTAAAAAAACTGACGCAGTTTTTTTAAATACACAATTACAGAAGCGGAAACATGGAAGCCATTCAAACTAAGCGAAAATCTCTGCAGCAGTAACGAAAATTCAGTCTTCTACCACTCGTTAGCTGCTAAGGGTACACAGCTGATACACTGGAACACACAGGAACACGGACACGCGACAGGTAGCACACTACAAGCAACACTCCTAACCATCCACACATGTCGCAGGCAGCACTCTGCGGGGCCCGGGAAGCTCTGGGCACCCAGCAAGGACCCTGAGGGAGGAACGCTCTTAGTGGGGAGAGGGGCTGGCAGAACTCTCCCGGCAGCGTGGCGAGCTCGATCACGAGCCACACACCCCACACCCGAACGTGCCAAGGGGGCGGCCCCGGCGTTTCGGCTCCGGCCCGGAGGCCCGCGCCCCAGGAGGGTCGGGAGAGGCCGAGCACAGCCGAAAGCGAACCCTCCGGGCCACGGCACCACGCGGCCGGCCCAATTCTGCCTCAGTCCCCGCGAGCCTCACGCCAGCCCACCGAGAAGTTGCCTCAACTTTCACCAAACCTTTGATATCCGCGTGCAGCTGATCCAGCTCCAGAGCACGCCATCTGCAGGCTCACAGCCCAGGAAGTTCCGGAAAGCAGGAGCCAGTCAAATCGGCTCGCGAGCCATAACCTCGCCCTTCGATCTTATCCCGCCCGCGCGGCAGGGTTCCACCCAATCCGCCCGGCCGCTCTGAGAAGCCCCACCCACTGACGGGAGCCCCGCCCCCCAAGTGGAACCTCGCCCACAGAACCAATCCGCCAGCAAGGGCAACACCGCAAGGCAACGCCCACTGAGCTAAGCTCCGCCTCCAGACCGAGTTTCACCCTGTCTGGGCGGAGTGTAGCCCTTAGTCCCGCCTACTGAACGATGTCCCGCCCACCACGCCGAAGTCTGCGCAGCCCGCGCCGGGCGTGCGCCCCGCCCCGCCCACCGAGCGTACTGAAGCGGGGTCCCTCCCATCTGTCGTGATCCCGCCCTTAGGGCCAAAACCGTTTTCCCTGAAACTAAGTGTAGGGACAGGAAAAGCCCTGCTCTTAGCTCCCGTTTCGGCTGAATTGCCGACGTCACCTGGCTTCACGCGAGCTGCCACCAGGTCTTAGTCCCTAGTGAGTCCGCGTGGGGAAAGCCAGCCGGAGCGTTCCTGAGTCTAAACCCCGCGTCGCTGCTCCGCCGAGCGCTCCCGGCAGGTGGCGCTGCGCACCGGGCGCCTCCAGGCTGATGGACTTCCCGCGCACGGTGGCGGCGAGCGAGGAGTGCAATTGCTTTTCTCATTTTAACTTTTTGCTGCAAAAGGCGGGCTTCTGACAGCAGGGCAGGGCAATGCAGGGGCAATATGGAAAATAAAAATAGAACAAGTGCCGAGGAACTTCGGTGAAATTAGAAGAAAGTTTCATGCCTTCCGACGTGTGTATCAGTATTTTTCCCAATCAGGACATTCTGGATTGAGGTGTTTAGAAAACTGAATCCTTTCAGAGGATATCGCCATACTTTTTTACTAAGTTTCTATACTTACGTTTGTTGAAGTCATAAGAAAAGCCAGCTTAAAAAAAAATGTAGGAAAGTTCTGACATTGCTATGCCAGTTTGTGCTTGTGCTGCCAACGAGCACTTAACTGTGATTTATGTTTTACAACATTTCAGCCGGCACTCCACGGAAATAAGGCGATAATCACACTGCCTTTTTGAAAGTGGGGATAATAACGCTTGGATTTTATTAGTTGACAAAGCCCAGATTCCTTCTCCGTTGGCACTTGCCTAAGTACTCTTTACATTGAATGAGCCATACACCTGCTTTCAAAAAGATGACCCACTTTTACACTAAATTGTTTTATTATGATTACACTGATCATAAAAATTAAGGAATATGTTAAGAGGCACAATTACTGTCATAATTGCTGTATGTTTATTCGTATTTTGTGTTCTTTCTAAAGAACAATCTTGTAAAAATTTCCTTAAAAGCTGACATAAAATGTCAGTAATGTGTGGGAGCAAAACCGAAGCTTCAGAA